CAAAATTAAACCGTTTCAATTATTCTTTGTAGTATGACAAAGCAGTAGGAAGCATGTGCTCATTAGGTGACAAAAAGGCTGATAATGCTTCTTTGATTTGTAATTTAATACTAACAATTTATATGGATATTTATATTAAAAATATAAAAGCAAAACTTTTACAATAAAAAGAGCACAATCCTGCTATGTCTCTACATGCAGAACTTATTTTTACTCAATGATCGTTTTCTTTACATAAGAACATAAGAACATAAGAACGGCCGTACTGGGTCAGACCAAAGGTCCATCTAGCCCATTATCCTGTCTACCGACAGTGGCCAGCACCAGGTACCCCAGAGAGGGTTGACCGAAGACAATGATCAAGCGATTTGTCTCCTGCCATCCCTCTCCAGCCTCTGACAAACAGAGGCCAAGGACACCATTTTATCCCCTGGCTAATAGCCTTTTATAGACCTAACCTCCATGAATTTATCCAGCTTCTCTTTAAACTCTATTATAGTCCTAGCCTTCACCGCCTCCTCTGGTAAGGAGTTCCACAGGTTGACAACACGCTGTGTGAAGAAGAACTTCCTTTTATTAGTTTTAAACCTGCTACCCATTAATTTCATTTGGTGTCCTCTAGTTCTTCTATTATGGGAACTAATAAATAACTTTTCTTTATCAGCCCTCTCCACACCACTCATGATTTTATAGACCTCTATCATATCCCCCCTCAGTCTCCTTTTTTCTAAACTGAAAAGTCCCAGTCTCTTTAGCCTCTCCTCATATGGGACCCGTTCCAAACCCCTAATCATTTTAGTTGCCCTTTTCTGAACCCTTTCCAAGGCCAAAATATCTTTTTTGAGGTGAGGAGACCACATCTGTACACAGTATTCAAGATGTGGGCGTACCATAGTTTTATACAGGGGCAGTAAGATATTCTGGGTCCTATTTTCTATCCCTTTCCTAATAATTCCTAGCATCCTATTTGCCTTTTTGACCACCGCTGCACACTGCGTGGAAGTTTTCAGAGAACTGTCCATGATAACTCCAAGATCTCTTTCCTGATTTGTCGTAGCCAAATTAGCCCCCATCATACTGTACATATAGTTGGGGTTATTTTTCCTGATGTGCATTACTTTACACTTATCCACATTAAATTTATAGTTTTCAAGTTTTATAGTTTTTAAGTCCAGACCCCTGCTGTATATGCCACTAGCACATTTACCTGGTGTTGCTTGGGTCTGTAAGGAAGGACTCAGAGCAGGGAGCAATGGATGTGGGGGATGCAGGAGTCAGGGCAGGGGCTTAGGCAGGGGTGGTCAATAACATGGTGGTGGATCACTAGGTTAGTCTCTGGCAGGTTGCCACCTCTATATTTATCTGCATGGTGTAAGGACTTCGTAGGGAAATGTAAGGACTAAAGACTCTTTATTATTGTGATGGACTCCATCTTGAAAATATAGACTCCATTTTGTCTTTGGGACTGCTGGAGACATAAACAGAACTGGTTCCAACTGGATTTTCCTGCCAAGGACATTATTTACCTCAGATGTGCACTACGCTGCACACGACACGGGACATTTTGCACACGGCACAGAGACAGTGCACTCAGCACCCTTGCTGCTTTTCCCGTGCAAGGAACAATATAAGGACTGTCACTCTGAGGAGTGGGGCTGCTCCTCCTGAACAACATTGCTGCTTGATACTTCGGCCCTTGGTCTGCTGCTGCTTCTTGCCTGTCCCTCTATCACTTTGTGGTGAAAGCTCAAGTGAGGCCTACCATCCGGCTGCAAGATAGAGGCTGCCTGAGGGAGAGGAATCTCTGAGCTGCTGTGGGTGCCTCTCTTCACAGCCTCCACCGAAGGGTGTGTGGATTTGTGCTTAGGGGACATCCAGCAGACCTCGTAGGTTCCTTTGCCCACTCTGGAATCCTAGCCTGCTCCCTGGGGTGAAAGCCCTTTGTAAGCCAGACCTGAATCCATGATTGATCTGAGCCTGAATAACATCGTGGGATCACCTAGTGTTCCTCCCAGACAGCAGATTCCCTGCTGAATGGTAGAAGGTTCGAGGCTGCTTGCCTACGGGCAACGGGAGCTGTGATTACCAGTAACTGCGGCTATGCAGGTAAATATAGTGGAGAGTGATAGCAGGACAGGCAAGAAGCAGCAGCAGACCAAGGGCCAAAGAATCAAGCAGCAAGGTTGTTCAGGAGGAGCAGATCCACCCCTCAGAGTGACAGTCCTTATATTGCTTCTTACCCTCTCCCCCCCTTCTCCCCTCTCCAGCCTCCTTTCCCCAGTCTCACCAGAGTTTCATTCCCTCCCCCTCCCCAGTTTTGTTAAATAGAGTTTGTGTTCATGAAAATGTGTATTTTATTTGACATCAGGAAGGGGGGTTAGGGAGGGGTAAGTGGAAGGACGTGAGGGAGGAATGAGGCACAAGCCCCCAGTGGGACAGACCAGGCAGGCTCCTAGTGCTCCTCAGGGTGGAAGCTCTCCCCCAGGGCCTCCTGGATATTGACACCCCCCCCCCCCCCCCACACACCCCCCCGA